GAAGTTGTCAGGAAGAAACTTGGGGCGGGGGAGGGATGCTGCGTCGGAACTGGTGGCATAGAATTAAGTTATTATTAGTGCCCGTGATGGGGGAGGGAGGGGGGTATTGTTCTCCATCATGCTACTTGTTTGCTTCCCTCTGCACCACCGAGCAAGATGGGCGAGGAGGAGGAGGAGGAGGGAGAACAGAACGGTGATCTCCTCTCGCGCCTGACGTCTCGGCTGCCCTCATTTCCTCCTTTTTACATATCGTGTTTGTTTACCCTTTTCCTCCATGTTTGCTCTGGATTCCCGCGGCCCGTTTGGTAGCTTGTCTGCCGCGATTGCGTCTGAGCTCTTCTTCTGCTCTCCTTGATCAGTCTCTCCGCCGGTCCGACAGCCGATCACTAAGCCCCCCACCTTTCTTCGGGATCATCATTCAATTTTTTTTCTCCAAGCGTCCGTCTTGGTTCAAGCCTCCTTTGCTAATCGCCTCGTGTTCTTCACGATGGTACACATTTTTAATCAAACGAAGAATCGCCTTTTCCCCGCACAGCCCATTCGGAGCCTCTCGCACGTGCTCATTTCCAATGGATTGCGTCACCATCACACCCTTTATTCCTCCTGCGCGTTGTCCTTTTATCCCAGTCTGTGGCTTCCTGACACTGCTTTTGTGTTCTCGCATGCGATGGCGGCGCGTCGTTAGTGTTTTCGCCGCATATTCTTCCCGCTCGGCTTTTTGTGATTCGCCCCCTTTGTTCGTGTCTGTCAAACTTCGCAGCGCCTTTCCTCTCTAATGTGTGCCGGACTGTCTTAGTAACTGCCATCCACTTCCATTCTCGACGCGGCCGTGTTCCCCTGCTCACTTGTGGTCCATCCCATCCTGTAGACTTGGGCACCCTGGCTCCTTATCTTAAGTCTCAAACTTGGGTCTTTAATTGGACAGTGATTTTAAACTGGACCGGCAAATTGGTGCCGTTGTTAAATCCAGCTTCTTTCATCCTACGCAGGTGCCTAAAGTAAAACCTCGCCTTTCTCATGAGCGCTTTGAAACAGTAATTCATGCCTTCGTCACATCCCGGCTGGATTACTGCAATGCCCTTTACTTTGGAGGCAGCCAGTCCTCCATTAAGTGTCTCCAGTTGGTCCAGAATACTGCTGCTCGCCTCTTGACTGGCACTCGTGAGAGGGAGCACATCACTCCTACTCTGGCATCCCTTCACTGGCTCCCGATATGTTTTAGAGTTCTTTTTAAGATCCTATTATTTGTTTTCAAATCTTGAAATGGCCTCGCTCCACCTTACCCCTCTGAGCTCGTCCGCACTGTCACACCTGCCTCAGGTCTGCGGACCAGACATTATTAGAGGTACCAAGAACTAAGCGGAGGCTCCGGGGTGATCGAGCCTTTTCCGTTGCCGGTCCCTCTCTTTGGAATGACCTCCCACTGAACATTCTGCAAGCCCCCGTCGCTGCCCATCTTTATAACTCGTCTCAAAACTCATTCCTATTCTGTGGCTTTTGACTTAGCATGAGACTTGATTTTTTAGTTTGACTGTTTTTGTGCTTTCTACTGTCTTCGTGATTAACTTCTTGTTTTATTGTTGTATATATGATATTTGCTCCATGTACAGCACTTTGTATACAGCAAAGTCTGTTTTAAAGTGCTCGAGAACTACAGCTGAGTTGAGTTTCAAAGTCGGACGGATCAGCGGGGGAAGGTTGCTGCTGTTGTGGCTGCACTTTAATGCCAACAACGCTACGGCCCCTCCTTCTCTCTTTTTTTATTGTACTGACCAAAAACCTTTGGCGCGACGTATCAAAGTGTATCATCCAATCACATATGAGGGGTTTCATTCGCAGCAAAGCTCGGCAACTTCAATTTGACGTCCAGCAGCCAAGCACGGTGCTGGAAGAAATGACTTTTTGTCCAGAAATGAGACGCCTTTGGCCAAAGCAGCAGATGGTACCACGCGGCTCCGGTTAAGTGGTGCCTCATTTACATGGAGGGACATTGTCTCCCCTGGTGCGCGTCCTTCAGGTGGGATGCACTTGAAAGGAACCCGGCGTGAAATCGGTGGCTTTTTTTTATTTTTGCAAGGACCCTCACGGCGTGGTCGTGCCGCGGTAAAACCGAGCTCCAGGAAAAGGCGGCTCGTCTGATCCTGTCAGGCCCCGACAGCTTGAGCAGCTCCGAACAGATGCCACACGCGCTCGCCATCCCACCTGGTCCTGTCACGCCACGCCGTCCAAATTAGACACGCCGCGTCTCCGGTGCCACTGACCTTTTGAAGAAATGATTCAATCTGGCAGACCTACCAAGTTCTCTTTCCCGGGCCATTGAATTCAGCTCGTTTCTGTTACCCGGAAGTTGTGTACCGTACCGAACCGAAAAATGAACAATTGGGGGGGAAAACAAACCCCAACAAAACAAAGCAAAGTAATGGCTCTCTGCTTGGACTTTTCCACCCGCTCGCTGGCGCGATATTGCGGTAGGCAGAGGCCCGTTAATAGCATGAGAGAAATCTATAGTGGAGATCCCTGTTTCCATTGTGGTGTGCCCGTCTTTCATACGTTTCCCTCATTTGTTTCTTTATCGCTCCTCAGGGGACTTGATTTGCCTGCTTTGGCTCTCTCAAAGCCTTCTGACGTCTCATCTTCCCTATCAGTCTTTTTTTTCCCTTCTCTCTCTCTCTCTCTATTTCACCTTTTGGCAAGGATGCTATAGAACGGCGTTATTATTTTGCTGGTTTGTTTGGGTTTCTCCCCGCCGTGTTTTGTTATTGCAAACCGCGCAGCTCAAGTTCTGCTTTGATTTTCATGAGGGATGGTCGGCGTCTCAAACTTTTGTCTTTGCAACCTGGATTTAGGAAAATTTAAGTCATCCAGCATCTGCTAGAGTCCATTTGTCAAGTAGTCTGATCTGCGATCCCTTTTTTTTTTTTCTGGCCACGAGCTTGCATTTCTTGAGCAAAGGCCGATCCTTTCATGTCGTAAGCCACCCGTTCCTTCTATTGTCTGAGTATTTGCCATGGAGAAATTAGCAAAGCTGATCAGCAAGGGAGCTCAGATCTCATTCAGTTCAATCATTTATTTAATTAGTTCTCCCCGCTTAATTGCTGCGCCTGCGCGGACGGGAAAGAAGACTCCCGGGGGGGGGGGGGGAGAGAAGACTCTCTGCGTTTGTTTTGACGCACTATTTCTCTTTATCTTTTGCTGACTTGATTTGGATTCCCTTTTCCGTACCTCTTCTCACCTCTTTGTCACCCCGCGTTTTTGCCGAGCAGATGCTCCCCGTGCCTCTCAATCTTTCATTACATCTTCCACCGAGCCCCTCGCTTTCATCCCAGATGTGTTTTTCCATCTAACTCTATTTCACTGATGGATTTACTTCCCCTCCTTCTGCATTTTCCTAAAGGATCCGTCGGCCCAGCCGTCTCTCTTCGCCTCAGCCTCACCCGCTTTCTTCCCTTTCAACGGTCCTCCCTTTCACTCTAATCTTTCCCATGGGGGATTTGTTTAGAGTCAATCTCAGATCTTCCTCTTAGTTCCAAATTCCTCTGAAGCCTAAAATCGGCCTCCGTCCATGCAATATATTCAAAGAATGACCATCTCCTCCTCATTCTCTCTTGGAAGCCATATTTCCATTCGCACCCTCTCCGTGCCACTGACTGCCTCCTTAATCTCCCGAGGGATGTCTCATGAAGCCCATGCATTAGTCGACCTTACAATGCGGCCATGCGCTTCCCCTCGATGGTGCGTCATAGCAACAGCCAGCGATTAACCAGCATGTGGCACTGTGAACGAACGGCAAAAGTCAAACTGACCTGTAGATGAGGGTTTCGTCGGCCGTGCAGTTGTATTGTATCTGGTACATCCACACAACGTACGCTCCGGGCGAACGTCCCAAATCCCAGCGGACCTGAGCGGAAGTGGACGTTATCCCTTGAACTCCGACCGTCCGCCTGTCTTCTTCGTCTCCGTCGTCATCCTCGGTGGCCCCGTCGTCGTCGTCCCGCTCCCCTTCGGCCGCCCCGCCTCCGTCACCCTCTTCATCTTCGCCGGCACCTTTTTTCTCCTCCTCCAGCTCGCCCGCGCGCCCCGCGCCGTTGTTCATCCCGCCGTTTTTCCCCGTGCTGATATCCGAGGATCCCGGATCGGTTCGTAAAATCCCATTGGTTACATTCCTGTTGCTCTTATTGTTCACGCTGTTCTTCCCCGTGTTGCCACCTGCTCCGCCCCGATGAGGGAGGGGGATTATTTTCAGGTCCACGGTGGCAGTCGCTTCGCCGGCCGCGTTGATGGCGATGCACGTGTACGCCCCATCGTCCCGGGCCACCGTCACCAAGATATCCAAGGTGCCGTTGTTAAAGGAGCTGGTCCGCGATGAGTTTGCGATGATGCGATCGTCCGGCGAGACCCAGTGCACCACCGGCTCCGGGTCTCCGATGGCGCGGCACTTGAGGGTGGCCCTCTGGCCTTCCAGAACCCACAACTTGTGCGTGTGACGGGTGATGAGGGGGGGCTCACATGTAAACTCCTCCTCGGGAATCGACCAGAAGTACCTGAGGGAAGAGTGAAAACGCCGACACGAAAAAAAAAAAAGTGAGCCCGAGAGATATCGACCATCGCGCCGCACGTATTTGTCTGACCTGTAATTTTTCACAAGAGCGGTTATCAAGTTACTACGCTACTCTAAAAGATAATGCCGGCAGATGCTCGTTTTCCTCCTCAATACGTCGCAGGCATTTTAATGACACACTCGGTCTGGAAAGGGATGGAAGATAAATGCGGAGACGATGCCAAGTAGCGCTGTAATGACTTTTACGGTGTTACATTTCCATGAATTATGGCGCAGTCACTGTATCACCATTAGCGGCGCATTATCCCTCAATTGCGTTCAGTTCTGAAGACCTACAAGTTTGCGCTTCAGTTCTAATTGTCCAATTAAGGAACCGTAAGAGTTGTGGCTTTGCGATTGCCGAGATACTCAAACAAGGGGCCGGACTCCAAACTAAGAGAGCCCGTTTGCTTGCACGTGTCTTGGCTAAAGATGCTCATCACCAAGCCGACGACTGAATGAATGTACGGGAAAATAAAAAAGGCAGGCGAGAGCCAAATACCTTCCGGCAAGGTGGAGGGGCGTGGCGCAGGTTTCCATGTCATCACTGCGAACAAGTCGTCGGAGCCAGAGCAGTTCGCAGTTGCAGTGCAGCGGGTTCCCCCCGAAATTCAGACTGATGACAGCGTTGTAAGGGGTGGGGCTTATGGCACCTGTCTGGGATCTGGGGAGAAAAAAAAACACAGGCCATTTTAAGTCATAGCCAAAAATATTATGCACCCATAGGAGGTATGTGTGACACACACATTCAAAAAAAAAACAAAAAAAAAAAAACGGTCACGTTCTTGTGCGTGTGTTATTTTTAGTTTTTTTAGTCCTTGCTTGGCCCTGACTCATCACCAACTTGTCTGCCAGAAAGAATGCAATCCTTCTCAAATTGCTTCAAAAAAAAAAAAAAAAAAACAATCTCAGTCACGCCGAGTTCATTGAGTTTGTCGCAGCCGCTTGACAAGTGGAGCTCAGTCGTCGTTTTACTTGCTGTCGATATTCCCAAAATGGTAAAGTCGCCTGTCTATAAATGTCATCCCTCGACTTGCAAGAAGCTCTCCTTAGTCACTCCGAAGCCACTTACGCCTCTGCGACGTACAATCTGGAACCAGCTGATGCCGCCTCGGTCATGTATGCGAGATGGAATGAGGACAGCAGATTTTGCCTAATCCCTCACTTGAACAGCTGGCCCACATGTCTTGTCTGTGTAGCTCTGTGGTGCAACAATCGTGAATAATCTGACAATTAACAGTTTGGAGCCCAATATTTTGACTAAACTCCCATTTTTTGGGGGAGTGGGGGGGGGGGCACCAAGAATGAATAATGTGCTCTACCTTGCAAAGAGGGGGTCCGGTGGCAGGGTCCTGAGCCGGTTGGAGGTCATATCTAGCCTGGCTAGCTTGTACAATTCTCCAAAGACTCCCTCCGCGATGTGGTCTATGAGGTTGTGGTCCAGGTTCAGTGTGTGCAGACTGGCCATGTTCTGGATGGACTCCCACGGTACCCTGTTGAAGTCAAATGGGGGATTGTTGAGCGCCAATGAGCAGCAGTCATTTTATGTCTTCTTTTTGACAGCGGCGACAATAGATTCGCTAATTGTCAGTGATTTGTGCGTAGCGGCGGCAAATATCCGAAGCTGACTCGTCACTCTTAATTTGGGTTTATAGCCCAAAGCAAAGAAATCAGCCGAGTGACGGCTATTAACTCATTCAGTACCAGCCAATTCTGGACCAAGTCTGAAAAGACGTTTAAAAACGTCTTTGGGAGTGAATTAGTTAAATGGCAAAGCTCGCAATTGGGGGCGATTGTAAGTCAAGGTCCCGTTGGACTTTTTCGAACTTACTTTCGAAGGTTGTTGTAGGACATGTCGAGATCCTCTAACGTGAGTAAGAAGTCGTCAAACGCCTGCACTGACACTTTGACCAGCTGATTGTTGTTAACAATCAGATGTTGGAGATTCACCAATCCCGCCAGGTCCCTTGGGCCCACGATTGTTAAACGATTCCCTGGAAACGCAAGAGGAACATGAGGTGACGCTTACGGTCGGTGGTGATTGTCGATGAACGGTTCTTATGCTAATCACCGTCGAGATGCAAGGAGCGGAGACTCTCCAGATCAGCAAAGGCCATCGGGCGAATCAGGTGGATGGTATTTCTGGACAGAGTCAAATCGACCAGTCCGGTCATGTTGACGAAGTCGGTCCCCCCGACCTCCGTGATGAAGTTGTCAGCCAGCCGCAGCTCGACGGTACGCCGGTCGACGTGCGGGGGCACAAAGAGGAGACCCTTGTCGGCGCACAGCGTGCTGAGCGATTCGGAAAGGTTCCGACACACACAGTGGAAAGGGCAGGCCGACACGACGCCCCACGTCTCTCCCGCTCCGATCAGGGAGGGCAGCAGGCAGCACGTGACCAGGGTGAGCCAGTGAAAAGCCGGGAACTGGATGCCGCTCGCAGGTGTTCGTTTTGAGGCTCCCAAGCAGGCGCAGGGGATGACTTTGGACGAGGAGGGCAGAGACGAGACGAAAAGGGGGGCGCGAGGAAGCGAGAGGGTGGACGGAGCGAAGGTGGACTCCTTTGCCTGTCGATCGGGGAGGCGATGCGTGTGAGGCGGGTGCTTCTGTCTGCTGGGGTTTAGGGTTGGGGGGGCAGGCATGGTAGAAAGCCAGGCTATCCACAGACCTAAAGGTAAAGAGAAAAAGACAGTCGTCGTACTGCTTGGCCCGTAGCGTTCAAAGTCAGCCACATTCCGACCATGTCTACATGCAACGTTAAAGCAGAAATTTTTTTTTTTACTTTTCAAGCGCCCCACAAGGCCGAGCACAGCCAGTCCCCATGGTAACAGTTACCTAGAAACCTGTCAAGAGAGGATTCGGCATGTGTTTTATCATGGGACACTTTCTTAAGGCTGCGGGTCAGGGAACTGAATCGGGTCGCCGGGCTTATCTGCCTCAATTGTCGCGTCAAAATAGCAACGCGCATCTCAGCCGGTTCTGTTTACACTCGGTATCGCCGCTTACGGCGTGGCAAGGTGTAGAGATGAGTCACTGAAGCTGATTGTCATGCATATGGGTTGCCTTGGCAACATGGATCCCGGAGGGGGGACAGCGAGTGTCGATAACAGGCAGAAGCGCCGCATTCCGAAGTCACTTTTGATGTCGCTTTTCAAGACTTGAGACTCCGGCCGCCAAGGTGATGCCGCCCGCGTGTGTCGTCGGGCACTTCATGCTGCCGCCACCGTGAAGTTTGCTCTTTGTGCGTGAAACCAGAAAACTGTTGTCATCATGCTTTGATTTGTCACACTTTCAAAAAAAGAAAAAACAGAATGACTGAGGATGACCGTTTCAAGTTTACTTCGCACTCGTTGACTCCTTCCGTTCTACCTCAGATCAACTCGTTCCGCTTTCAACTTGAAAACTGAATTGTTCCTTTTTTGTCTCTACCCAAAGTACTCCCGATAATTTGATCGCACCTTCGGGCACTGAAATTGACTCCCTTCTTTCTTACAGCGTCCCATCACTCTTCGTCATCTATTCTCCAGCGCCAAGTGCGGCTCCTCGTGTTTTCCGTCTTGCTCACTTGGCTCCGTCTCGAACCCGATGTGCCTCTAGCGGTGCTGTAACTTTCGACAATTTCCTTGTCGTATTCCCACAATCTGTTCCCCGCTGTCTCGTCTCTGCCCTTGAGGCAACCCGAGGATGGCGGCGTTATCAGTCACCGCTCTGCCTCGCCGCGTCTTTTCGTCTCTCGCCCCATCTTTGGTACGCCGTACCTCCCCGCTCGCCACCTCCTTTCATGCTTCGAGCCGGGGCGCACCTTTGCGCCTGCAATATTCAAGCCTCCTTCTGCCATCATCGCCGTGCGAATCTTCTGTTTTGGAGGCCGCCTTTGTGTCTGGAGCAGTTGCGGGCCCACAGCGCCGCAGGACACAATGGCAGGAACAACAATGATCGATGGAGCTTTCCGAGAAACGCTCGGCTCCTTGTCCTGCTGCTATTGTTTGCCGCCTCCACTTCTATCTTCTCCGAGCAACCCATGCTCATCACTCTACTAATTGATTTTGTTCTGATGCATGTTAACCATTGGTGGGCCATTAATTTGGTACGTGGGCCATAAGTAATCCGCGTCTTTCTACTGCCACAGTCACGTCCTCAGAACGCATCAACACGAGACAAAAATGCAAGCTACTTTGCCATGAACATCATCTCCCAATCAATATTTATGTGGTACCTTGATAGTCTTGAGATTTCATTGGACCTTGGACATATTCAGGGGCACCCTATGCGTGAAGTAGCAAAGCAGCCCCGGAACATAATTGGGCCTGCCGTCCCCACAATCGGCACTGACATAACTTCAAACCGACGAGACTGGAAATTGCCAGAATGCAAATTGACAAGCCGCAATGTTTGCGGGACTATTTTCTCGTGATGATTGAGATTTTGCTTGTCTTAATCAAAAGGGAAGAACAATTTTGCCTGTGCCATGCGTGCAAAGAAAGAACGCTGAATCTGCTGTGAAACAACAACCCAAAAGTGTTGAAAAGCATCACTTCATTCGTCCCCGATCGAAATCCGATCAAATATCTGCCGGAGTAGCGGAAACGGATTCTTTAATTGGAACATCAAAATAAAGTGATTCACTTCAGTGATTTTTTTTTTTCTTGCTGAAAGGAAGGGTACAAATTTGGCCAACGTGTATGTGCACTATATTCATGTCCATGGGTCTCTACGGTATTCTCTTTTAGTTAAGGTATTCTGCTTTCCTTCTATTTTGGGCAATGTCTCGCTTGCGCTACCCCGAATGAACCGGCGGAATAATCGCAACAATACAAAGGAGTCCTCAGAACCTCCACGTTGGCGCATGACTCACAGCTGCGAGGCTCCACCTGCCCCGAATGAACTCCCGACTTCCCCAAAAGTTCCTTTTCCTGCCCCGTTAACTGAAGAGGTCAAATTGAGCGAGAGTAAAGTCATTAGCTTTCCTCCCCGCCATTAAAGCTTGTCATTGCAAAATGTGAACCCGACCCATGCAATTAAAAGGGACTTGGGGCTCTGGTTCAAAGTCGAAAGTGCCTCGTTGTTTTCACCGAGCAGACCTATTGCACTTTAGGACTTCATTTCCTTTCGCCCTCAATCTGTAATCCCCCACTGAGGACTATAAATGTCAAGCCCTCATTAAATGCCAACTACAATTTACAATCTTAAAACATATTCCGTAGGCGTGTGTGTGTGTGCGCGTGTGTCTCTTTATATTTTGCATGTGTATTCTCTCATCAAGAACATCCTCGGGAGCAGCTACCGTGGCCTTCCGAAATGCCACCGGTCCCTAATGGACTCAAAATGGCCAGCGCGGCGCTATTGATAAGGCATGGTATTAAGCGCCCGCAAGCCACTTATCGTAATCCTCAGATCTGCTGGGACCACTGGCGATAAAAAGGCGCCAGATCAAGAAGCAAGATGCTCACGTGCGCAAACACGCAAAAAGGGAAAAAATTTAAAAAAAGGCAGCGATAAAGTGGAGTCAAAGAGAAAAATTATTTCCATCACACAATGCCCTCGATATTAATTGTGCGTTTGCATGCACCACAACAGTCTCCCACACAGTCGTAATTATAGTGAGGCCGACAGATTCTCTCTTCTCTCTCGCTCTTTTGCTCCCCCCGCCGCTCCCCCTCTCTCTCTCTGTCTCGCTCTTTCGCTCTTTCTCCGGGCGAGGAAGAACACAGCGCCCACGTAGCCTCTTGTTGTGGCAGTCGTGTGCATGGAAGCCCACTCATCCTTTTGACACTCTCGCGTCTTTGTCACTCCCCTGTCAAATTTCAGACGCCTTCGCGTTCGTCCGCAACGTATAGATAGCGCGGCGAGAGGAAGAGCGGTGGGAAAGGGGGTCACCGACTGCAGGCAAAGCAGCGAGGCGGGTTAGAAAGAAGGGCTCGGTACCAACGCGTGTCATCAAGCAGATGGGCAGGGAAATATGTAAAGACCATAAACAGGTGAAGGCCGCCATCCATCATGCGTCGCCGCGAGCGCAGGAGGAAGCGCCGAACCGATTTGATTAGGGCGCCGGAGAGCCGGGCTGGAAATGAGTTTGTGGGAGGAGCCCCGAGGGGCAGTCAAGCAGGCGTCGCTGCGGGTGAAAGTCGGATTGCAGTGGCGGGGCCCGCCCTGGATCGGTGGCAGTTGTCTCCTCGCAGCGTGGCCCCGAGTTAATGAGTCCACTTGTGCACAAATACTGACTCATGCCCCCAGAGGCTGTCGCAACATTGAAAAGTGACCTCATCCTTGCATCCGCCCGTGTTTGTTTGTTTGTTTGCAATTAAGCGCCATTTTATTCCGAGAACGTTGCATCACGTTATTGGCAATTTCCCCCACACGGGTAGAAAACGGCCACCTCTGTAGTAGCCCTTGTGGGATAAAGAGCATTTAATTGTTCTTTTCTGTTTAACTGTTCTTCGATGCCAGGGATAGCGGGGCACCGCTGTCTGATGTCTACTCATAGAAGTGCTTTGAAGTGCAGCCTTTTTAAGCGCAGGTCGTCTTTTTTTTTTTTTTTTATTGCAGAGATAAGTGCGGAAACAAATACGACGTGGCGTTCTATCTCCTCTGTCCGGCGGGTGGAAATGTTACTCCAAGTGAGGCCTCGTGAATTTTGACTTGAGGACATGCAGATCATAAGCGAAATGTGTCTTCAGCACTCATGGCCCACAACGAGGCACTCTAAAGCAGCCGTTCCAGCCCGAAACCGGTCGCTGACTTGCCTTGCCATCTCACCGTGACACGCACACACTCATGGCGGGCAACGAGGCGCTCTACCCAACGGGGATCTTCAAACAAGTGTGATGAATTTTGAAACAAATCCCACGAATTCACTTGACAGGGACTTTAAATAGTTTGCATGTTCACCTCGTACGCGGAGAAACAGTTTGACCCCTAAATCGGTGGGACCCTCACAGGAAGTGTTGCTTTGCCTCCGTTGCGCAAGATTGTGTTTGCAATCAGACGCCGGAGGTGACCTTGGTGCCGTCTCCCTCGTCACTTTCCCCGACCAAAAAGTTTCTGGGATTGTGAAATGTTTGCTTCTCCCCGTCTTTGCCGCATGTTCCTTCCTCTTGGAAAGTGTGCGGAAGCTCGCGGGGGGATTCCACTTTTGTGCGCTGACGATAAACTGAAGTGGCAAAGAACAGAGGTGACAGTGATTTTCTTTGGCACTCTGTTGGCTCACACAGAACTTGAACATGATCCGGAATGAAAAGCTCCCATTTCGCGTATGCCCTCAACGCAGCCTCGATGAGTATGAGGCTCACTGTGTGCGCGCTTTATATGTGCGCTTGCACAGGTTCGCTTCCCCCCCCCCCCCCATCCCCCTTCCCTCCAACTTTTGTAATGCGTCACTGTCGCTGACTGACTGCGAAGTAGCATGTCAGTGTTATCTGTCAGCAAAGCCTCCCCTCCCGTGTAAAACATCTGTAAGACTCGAAGGCGGCGAAGCGGCAAAGCGGTGGGCACGGCCGAGCCCGTTTTTTTGTTTTTTTTATTCACGTGAATACCAGATTGGACTATTTGGGATCGGTGTGATCGATCAGCAAGCGTACACATGAAAGACTTCCCCTTCCTGGAATGAATGAACCCCTCCAATTGCCCTTCATTAGTTTTTTCCACGCTGTGGACTCCAGTGTTGGGGAAAATAATTACTCCAATCCACGGGAGTCCTCCGCACGCCGTTCCACATGCCCACCCCCAAAGTTGCAGACGCACCACAACGGGGACGCGCTTGCGCCGACGCTCGTAAATTTGCATTTGCATGACACGCGGTGGCAAAGAAACTGACCCGCCACCGCGGCTGCACCTGATGTGCTTGCACTCCCCCTCCTTCGTTCTTAATTTTTTTCTTCCTCATTTTCCTCCCCTGATGCAACCACGTTGTCACTATACTGCCGCATTGGCTGTCGATTTTTTTCATATGTCGACTTTTTCTGTTCAAGGCCATTTCGTGTGCCACGCGTGTGTACGCAGACTTGCTAAGAGCCAGAAATCAATCTAATCCAACGCAAGTTGGTGAGACGCTCACTCTCATTCGGACTCCCCGCAGGGCCAATTTTATGGACCCTGATTTGCTGACAGCGTATCTTGTTTGCAGCTTGACAAAAGTAAATTTGAGTGTGTTTGTGTGTGTGGCCGTGTAATGATTCTGTTGGCTTCCGGGCTTTCTTTATGGGGTGTGGGGGGGCTGGTGTAGGAATCTTAAGAACGCAAATGATTATCCAATCAGCTCTCAGCTCCCACCGCGGTGGGTCGATGACATGTCAACCAGACCCGTTGATTGCGGTGGCTGTCGTATTGACTCACGCGACACACACATACCCGCTGAGTAAACCCTTCTTCTATGTTCTTCCCGTGGCAAGGATTACGTGAGACTTCAACTCGACACACTTAACATGAAGCGGCACTCTGAGGAATTGAATTATTTAAAAAAAGAGTCAAACACCCTTTGCATTTCAAGCAAGCAGATTTTCATTCCCTAGCTTCATGCTAATGCTAAACAGCATCTTTGATGAGTTAAAGCAACCAGATTTTAGTTTCTTAGCTCAATGCTAATGCTAAGTAGCATCTATTTCGCGGTGCTGTAACGCGTCGAGCGCAAAAGATGCGGTAACACCTCTGCAGAGACAATACATCAGTACTCACTGTCGTGTTCTTTATCCTCTGCGAAGAGTGACTCATATTATGAATTCATGAATTATACAGTATTGTATAAAACAATAAAAGACAAGTTAAAGATTTGGATTGCCCAAGTACAATTACTGTATTGACTGTGGCTCAGTTCGATCTTTTGCATGAGCCTTTTTTGTTTTATTCTATTCTTTATTTTATTGATATTCTAATCAAACAATTGATGACTCTACAAATTTTTTTAAAAAAACACTCGTCACAGAGTTATCGAGCCATATGATGGCACAATAGTTCAGTTCCTCAAATGCTGTCTTTTACTTTGCACCCATGTCACTCACCACCCACCATACCCCTCAAGCCTCGCAGTCGCCCGCTTTCTTTAATCGCGCTCTCCCAAAGCATCTCTCCGTCTGTCGCCCACGGTTGCCGTGGTTTCCTGCTCATCAGGCGCCCGTTGTGCCCAAACAGACTGTTCACATTTTAATTACTCATCCTCTCGACCTCGCCGCAGTAAAACAAACCAGACCTTCGTGTTAACTTAGCTCTGCTTTTCGCTTTTGAATAAACCAGCCAGCCGAGAGTCCCCGCTTTCCCCGCTCCGAATCAATCCTCCGTTCGCATGCACCCAACGGCCATTTCCTCAACCTCGTGCTCTTTCTCCCCTTCCATCCACTCGCCAGTCTGCTCATTTTGACGGCAAGCGTCCCCATCTGCTGGCGTCTCGGAATGGCAGACGCCCTCGCCGACAGTGACGAGATAATTGAAGGAATGACAAATGCTTCCGCCGCTCCGGCCACATGACGCTCACCCCAAATGGATCACCGGCGGGAAAGCAAAAGCCAATTAGCGTTTGCTTTGCATTCACGCGAAGGCGCTACATGTTGTTTTCTTCCATGTTGGAAAGAGCCTGCGACATCGCTGGAACAGCAATGAGGCCGAGTCGAGCATACAACTCAGCCAAGGCCGACAATTGGATTCAGCACAAAATGGTCCACCTTCGTAAATAGCTGCCTCCTACATCCTGAATGCTGTCAGTGGTGTCTTATAGATCTATACCGCACTCAAAAGAACAAGATAACCACAACATACCTTGACTTGGCCGCTGCGCTGCTGTTTCTGGTGCGGCTACAAGACAGACAGCCATACTCTTCTTTGAAATGACTCAGCTCCTCTCGTCTCATCAGTGCGGCCTTAATATTAGCAGTTCTTTGCAGATGATAAAGAATATGACCGAGTATTGTTCTTGTCATCTCCATTTATTGTGACAGGAAGCAGCTTCGAAGACGTGCCCATTTTGTCTTGGGGAACTCGGAATTTGGGGAAGTCAAGTTTATTTCACTAGTGTCTAGAAAAGCCGAATAAGTGCCACACGTTTCAATCAAACATGAAAAGTTCAGGTGGTAAAGCCGCAGATTTGTTTGCATCATCGTTGTCATCTGTTTCGTGTTTTATTGATTAATTTTTCGCCCACACTTGTTGGGTCAAATTTAATTCATGGTTCATTTGCCTTTACTTCAGCACAAGCTTAATTGACAAGATCAAAACCTTTATGTGTGATAAATGTAATATCATTCATTGTAAGATTGCTTGTGTTTGTTAGTAACAATTCAAGGGAAGCGGTTATCCAAAAAAAAAAAAATCCTCGATTAAATCGCAATCGCAGTATTGAGGGTGGGAAAAAAACTGCAATTCGATGATATTTCAAAAAAATTTCAGCCCTAGTCAGGAGCGCAAGTAGATAATGACAGACATCTTTCATGTCTTTGCCTACTCACCTCATTCATCTTTTGATACTGTCACTCATCAAAATGTCGATAAGTGAATCACAGTTATTACACTCCCATCAATGAATCCCTCATCACTTTTTTTTTCCTGACCTCTTAGTCCTCATCATGTTGCGCCAACCTTCTCCCTTTTCATTCTCTCTACATTATCTCCTCTCCTGACTTTATCTTTGGCTCTCTCCCTCGCTCTCGCCGTGTCTCGCGGCCCTCTTATCCTCCCATACATCCACTCAGTCGGTTTCCTGTGTCAGCAGGCCAAATAAGTGCAAGCGCGTGCGTGTGCGTGTGTGTGCGCTTATGTAAAATCTCTCCGAGGTTGCCGCCCGGAGCCCCAAATCCCGGCATGGCGACACCCAAACGACACGCCATGCGAGATTACATTGAAGCTTGCGAGCAAGTGATACAGCATCTGGCCCACACACGCACACAGACACACACACACACACACACACACACACACACACACACACACACACACACACACACATCGACGCGCGCACGCTTGCATGCTTGCACGCGGTGGGTGAAGGAAGTTCTCATGGGAGTAAAGCATGAAAACCCCCAATTAAAGGTGTTAGTGGATGAAAATGGAAAGGAAAAGCTAAAAATAACCCGCATATAACCCGCGCTGACATTTCCCTCTCATGTTGTTGTTACCAAGACACATCTGTTTATTATTAATAGGACACCCCAGTGTATGTCTGTGTGCTGTGTGTGTTTTGGAGACAGTGCGTAGAGTTCCTCCCCTACTTAATGATTCAGCACGAGAGCTAAATAAGTGCAGACACTGATTCACCTTTACTGAGCCAATATGTGTTCTACTGTGTGTGTGTGTGTGTGTGTGTGTGTGTGTGTGTGTGTGTGTGTGTGTGTGTGTGTGTGTGGTCCCCGCAGTGGCCCATCTGGAGAACTGTGAAAATCCCCGCAGGGCTGGGCCACCAGGGGGCGATATTGAGTCACAAGGATGCAGTGTCCTTAGATCCCCTGACACTCTGCCATAATTTATAGATCCAAACATCCATCCATAATCCGAGCCGTTTAGCCTCACAGCGGTCGCGGCCGTGCCGGGGCCTATCTCAGTTGTCTTCGGGCAGTAGGCGGGGGACACCCTGTACCGGTTGCCGGCCAATCTCAGGGCACACGAAACAGCCATTGGCACTCACAATCACACCTAGGGACTATTTCGAGTGTTCCATTAACCTACCATGCGTGTTTTTGGAATGTGAGAGGAAAAGAGAGTACCCGGAGAAAACCCGCGTCGGCGTGGGAAGAACATGCATACTCCATACAGGAATGTTAGAGCCTGGAACCGAACCCCGGACCTCTGCACTGTGAGGTGGACTTGCTTAAACAGTCGATCACCGTGCCACCCTAATTTCTCGATTTGGACGACATTTTTAAAGATTCAATTTTCAATTGATTTTGATTGCAAATTTGAAACTGTCTTTAGAAAAGACAACATTGTTTCATACGCTCAGTGTCAATTTCATTACTCTCACACCATACCGAACAACCAACGTGGCTGCGAGGTCATTGTTTGTCATACCATCCACAGTCACGAGATTCAAGCCAGACACATTCATAAAACAAGCAGAAGCAAACCTCGGTAAAAAGCAGCGCTTCAAATTGTGAAGAATGATGGTGAAGAATTTTTGTCTCACTCTGCTTTTTAAGTTGTATGCTCAATCGCAGGATGCAAAATGCTGTCTGTCAGCTGTCAGTGACAATCGATCACGCCGATTGGCTGTCGGCTTGCAAATCCAAATCACCGCATGAAATAGAAGTTGGGAGGAAGGTTTTGTATGTACGGGTTTTATTTCTTGAATCCCTGACTGTGGATGCTATGATAAACAATAACTTCTCAGTTACAGTTACAAGTAGGGCCACTAAACGTGTGTGAACTACTTGTATGTGTGTGTGTGTGTGTGTGTGTGTGTGTGTGTGTGTGTGTGTGTGTGTGTGTGTGTGTGTGAGGTCTCGGGGGTGCACATAAAAAGGTCAAAAGGTCTTACCTTTTCTGTCTGTGCTTAACAACTAGAATCAGCTCCACATGTTGGCCAGGTTGCTGTCGTGTGTGCGCATGGGTGTTGTTGTGTGTGTTCAGTACATCTCCCCCGGGTGCTTTTGTGCCGCTTGGGCGTTCAATAAGATTTGTGTCGCAACCTGTCCTGGTCCCTTCCTCACCTCACCACATCAAAAAGATATGCGAAAGCCAGCCAGGTTTGAGAAATGTCCACAATATCCTCTTTAAGCGTCTACATCAGGGAGAGAGAACCTGGAAAATTCCGAATTACACGACCAATCCTGGCCCGTTATTCCGAGATGGAGACCTCACTTTGAAGAAGGGGTGGTGGGGGGGAATCCAAGAATCCACTTGGCTTTAAATCCTCTTAAAGGCCCTTTTGATACGACTTCCTTGCGGCGGCATCGGATGTCTATTTCTTAAAGGCTTCAGTTCGGCCCGCACTGGAATCCAGACGGCAGCGACGTGTTTCTCTCTTCCTGGCCTGCGCATCCTCACGCATCTCGACAGTTACCTCGGTTATTTATTCATCGCCTTCTCGCGGTTCCATCCCTCACGCGTGGACTTCCTCTTTCTCGCGCCACTTAATTCCGGGCTCGACTTCCGCGGAGCGTCAACGGCGGTCTCCTGTGCGCTCGCCGTCCCCCCCGCCTCATTTGTCGGCCGGTGACTCTGTGACCTTGGCGAGAGGGCGTGATGACCTACGGGAGAAGAGGAGTAAGAAGTGGATTCTGTTGTTGTGATACCCCCACCCAACCCCCTCCCCTTTCAAAACGGCCGCCTGTCCGTCATCCGCTCCTCCCTGATGGCGGCAGTAAATTCTCCCTCACTCCTTAGCAACTCGTCTCCAATACCTGTCTGTCAAGAGGCGATCAATAGTCCTGGGACCCCCTTAACGTCTCTCTGCAGGTTGCTCTGGTGTCTCTGCACGTCGAAACAGGAGCGCACAAAGTAGCACATTCATATACACACACACACACGCACACACTCGCACGCACACACAAACGGGCAGGCTAATGAAACAACCGGCCTATTGATCCGCACTGTGAATGTCAGACAGTTCTAAAGTCCGCCTGGTGGACTCTGGCCTGTCAGTCATCTTTGACAGCTCCAAGAAGTCGATTTCTTGGATCGTTTGTGTGTTCAAGCTGCACACTCACTCTGTGCCGTTGTGGCTCAAGTCTTGCTTACGGTTTGCGTCCCGCATTCCATATGCGGCGTCCTCACCCTGCATAGAACGTGCGGATTTCATCTATCACCCCCCCACCTCACCCCCCCTTTTTTTTTTCTCCCCACCAAGGTGTTTATTTGCCACTTGGAAAACACAATCGAGCTATTTTGCTTTCCCTTCATCGCTTCTCTCCTGCTTTCGTGCAACCCCCCACCCCCCCAACACCACCACCATCACGCTCAATGTCCGAGGCAGACGGAATTACTAACCTTGCCTTCCCAACCATTCCACCTGCGACCAGCGAAGCCGTCACATCCCCATCTTCGCGACACGCTCGCGCTCCCTCAACTCGGCGGCGGAACAACACCCATGGCTCTCTCTCTGCCTCTGCCCCCCTTCGTCTCTCCCCTCCTCTTGGCCGTCACTCTCTCTCCCCTCCCGCCGGCACCCCCCCCCACCCTCCGGCTGGCTCGTCCTGGACAGCTGCGGCGCTCTGTCTGCCGCCTCTGTCGCTCGTCGCTCGGGCTGCGGGGCTGATTGGAATTTAAGTCGTGCTAATCCCAGAGTACAGGTAGTGAATGAAGGAGGAGGGGATGGGAAGGAAAGAGACGGTGAGCGCCGAGTAAAACGCCGCTGGTATTCCTCTGAATGTCCTCTTGCTGCAGGTCTTCCTCCCTGCTTTCATCTGCCGCCCCGATACACTTCTTTTGACTCTTCCTTATGTTTTCATTGCGCCTAAGACGGAACGGGAGACGGGACTGAGGTCCTTCTACGCTGGCGCCGATTTGTGACAGAGCGAGAGACAGAGAGAGAGAAAGAGAGAGAGAGAGGGAGAGAGTGAGATGTGGAGCCAGAGTGATGAAGTGGGGGAGTGCAGACATGAGGGGAGGGAGAGTGAATGCAGGAGATGGAAAATGCTGCGTAGGAACAATCCAGAAGATGATCAAGTCGAGTCAACGTTGTATTTTGTGTTGAGCTGGTTAACAAGGCTTCAAAGCAGCAAAGAGCGACTTCTTAGTTTTGTGGAGCAATTTTTTTTTTTTTTTTTTTTTTGGTGGGGCGGGGGTGTTAAATAAATAAGGTGAGACACTCAGTCATCCGGGAGGGACTCAAAGTCGAGTCGCTTCTCCACGTCGAGAGTAGCCAGATGAGGTGGCTCGGGCATCTGATTAGGATGCCTCCTGGAAGCCTCCCTGGTGAGGTGTTCTGGGCATGTCCCACCGGCAGGAGGCCCCGGAGACGACCCAGGACACGCTGGACAGACGATGTCTCTCAGCTGGCCTGGGAACGCCTCGGGATCCCCCGGGATGAGCTCGAAGAAGTGGCTGGGGAGAGGGAAGTCTGGGCTTCCCTGCTAAAACTGTTGCCCACGCGACCCGACTCCGGATAAGCGGGAGAAGATGGATGGATGGACGGACATTGTGTACAGCAGCAAACTGTATTTTCCTGTCCAGAAGCAATCCAAGTCAAGAGCCCCGAAATTCGATGTCTTCCTCCTCCAACACACCTGATTCAAATGATCAGGATCGTTCATGTAGTTGTGAGAACATTTGTTGTGTGTAAAATCAAAATCCAAACTCAGGACTCTATTGTGAAAAAAAAATGAATATAAATAGAGTATAAATAAACTGACAGTATAAATATTTTATCCCATAGTAATACACTTTTAACCTGTCAGGCAACTCTTCCTGGCTGGCGTACACTGTAAAAAAAAGTTCATTTGCGGTGCCGGATCTATTGAGCAAGTCGATTTTCTCTCCAGCATCCAGACATTTGTCTGCTATTTTGCTGTTCAAAGTTGGAAGCGCTCCACTTTAACGCGGTTCCAGTCAGACGTCTGTGACAAGTGAACTCGATCACCCAAGCACTTGATTCCGATGTCAAAGGTGCGAGCCGCGCCACGCTTGGATTAGCCGAGCGATTAGCATGACTTCTGCCTTCGTCAAAAATGCAGCTTAGTGATGATGATTACTGACTTCGCAGCGACTCGTGTTCAGCCACAAAAGTGGCAAGCCGAAGCTCGCCAGCGGCTAGCTAGCGCAAGCGTGAGTAGCAGCGAATTGTGCCTCAACCTCCGACTACGCGCGGTGGGTGACGTTAGCGCTAAGCTTTTCTCAGTACAGCCATACCTCGGTTTTCGACCATAATCCGTTCTGGAAGCCTGTTCGAAAACCGAAACCATTCTCTTTTTAAAAAAAAATCTTTATTTAACACGTCTGCTCACAATGGAACGCTACAATAGGAAGCGTCACTTCCTCGTGTAAGGAAGGCGAGAGGAGTCAAGTGGCGTATTCAAGTGCGCTCAGTTTGGTCGAGAACCGATTGTCGGTCGTAATCCGAGCCATAAAAAACTCGGAAATTTTTGGTCGAAAAACGATTTGGTCAAGAACAGAGACGTTCGAAAACCGAGGTTTGACTGTATTACTACTCGGTTATTTCAAAGCCTTGCTTGACCGTTTGGTCACATCGCTTCAGTCTTTTAACTTACAAACGTGCCACTCATTATGTATAATAGTCGAATTGATGATAGTTTTATGCTCTCTTGCCTCTCCCCCAACGGTGCTTTTATAGCAACGATTATTAAAAGAGAATTAAAGTCGGGATAAATCTTTATTGGCCAAATATGTTCAAATTACAGCGGGATTTTGTCTCCACTCTCCAGTAGTGGAAGTTCCTTTCGATCCCCCCCACCCCCGCCCCAAAAAATTCAAAGATACTATAACAAATTCTGCATTTAAAGCATACACACATGTCCCAAGTACAGATAATCGTAAAATAAACTTAAATTGTGCTCATGACCTGGCTTCTTACATTTTGGGGCATATGAACGTATCACATCGGATGGCCTTTATTCAAACGACGAAATCAAGACAACTGAAATTATCCAAATCATCACAAATTGTCTCCGTGTCATTCATGAAGAGTCTCTTGAATGCTCGACTCTGAAGATCCAAGATCAGTTTCGTCACAATTCATCAGCGGCAGGTTTAATCGCGTATTTTTTTTTTACGGTAACATGCGCCTGATGTCGTCGAGGTGCTCGTAGTAACCGACGACGCGGTTTATTTTTAGCTGTGTCGGGAGGACTTGCATGACGGACATATGGAGAAAGAGCGGGAGATGAAAGCAAGACTAGCTCTTAGCGCCTGGAGCTACTCTGGGGCCGGCGAGGGGGAGAGCTGGAGGAGGAGGAGGAGGAGGAGGAAGACGGCGTGAGGACAGCAAAGTGAAGGAGGGGAAGAGCAAGGCCGAGGCTCTCCGAGCGCCTCGGTGAGATAAGGCAGCAAGCGCGGGCTTGCGGAGGAACGCATTTGAAGCCCAACACTTGTAAGCCCGTGTCCCTTCCATCTCTACGCGTCGGAAGAACAGGGTGTTAAATGGAATCTTGCGCTTGAGCCACGGCAGCAGACATTGCGCTGACGAGACGTGAGAAAGCTGGAGATGAAAGCGAGATGGGAGGCGGCCACGGTTCAATTTCATCCTCGGCTCTTCATCTTCTCCCTCCCCTCGGCCCTGCTTTCTCCCGTTCCCCGGGCAGTCATTATTTGGCCTGCGCTCAGGTGTTTTGGACCCCAACCCCCCTCGCCCCCACCCCCGCGTGAGCGATTTTGACACCTCATCCGGCCCAATCGTATTCAGTTAACGGTGTTCTGCTTCACGGCTCATTGGCTCGCAATTAATGCACCCTCCGGCGAAGGTTATGAGGCGCCGTGGTGTTCTGTGACCTCAGTGTTCGGAGAGGTGTTGTCTTTTGTGCGTCCACACCGTTTTTCATGAGACGTCAATATTAGCACGCTCAAGTCGGCTCAGAGATTTGTTTCGGAATACATGAAACATCACAATCCTTTTACGACCGTTTTTAATCAAAGATGCAAGTAAATGGGTTTTTTTTTTTCAGGTTCTGAGTCTGCCCTTATTTTTCTCTCTTAGCATTGGGTTTTTGCTGTAATCATAATATAATATATAAAATGATAAAATATTTAGGGTGGCGCAGTGGTCGAGTGGTTAGCGCATCGACCTCACATTGCAGAGGTACCGGGTTCGATTTCGGCTCCGGCCTTCCTGTGTGGAGTTTGCATGTTCTTCCCGGGCCTGCGTGGGTTTTCTCCGGGTACTCCGGTTCCCCCCCCCCACATTCCAAAAACATGCATAGCAGGCTGATTGTACACTCTTAAATTGTCTCGAGGTGTGAGCGTGAGTTCGGATGGTTGTTCGTCTCGGTGTGCCTACGCTTGTACACACTTGAGCACAGAGAATCGGGGGTCAATTTGAGGTGAATGGAGCCAAGACGCTTGTTAACTGATAATACTGAAAGAAAGATTCAACTTCGGGCGGACAGGAAGTACAGGATGCGCTCCAGCATGATAAGATGTCCTTGAGCGAAATTACAGTTGTCTCAGTTTGCGGAGAGGCTACCCATTGAAATGACAAAGTATCTGTTGTTTGGACAGGGAGGGCCGGGCCGAGTGGCGCGGCGTGGAAATGAGGGGAGTGTTATGTTCCTTGTAATTTGCATATGCTACCAATAAAATGCCTGCAGAGGCTGCAGAGGTCAGGGGTCAGTTGGAGGAGCGAACACGGAGTGGCTTCATCGAAAACTATATTTTCATGGCTCAAACATGTCATGTGTAGACAAAAATAATATTCCCAACGAAATGGAATCCCTATGTCATTGTGGCATTTGATTGACAGCCGAATGGGACCTTCTTTCGGTGCAGTCACTGGGCACTCCCACAGTGGTTTCGAGCTGAGAGATTAGCTTAACTTTTTTTTTTTTTTTTTTTTACACTTTGAAACTTTGTTTAACAACATTGATACACACACACACGCACGCACACACACACACAAGGACTGTCAATGGTTTGGCGTGGAAGATTGAAGGGCCGATGCCTCTGCATTTGTCACAATCCAAAGATAATGAAATACAAGGACACCCACACCTACACACGAGCCGCCAGCTCCGCCTCCTAATTTTGTCCTCGGAGCTGTTTGCATGTCATTGCGCTTTACTTATTTGCCGCGCGTTACTAATGCGCTCTCCTAATGATTACCAGCTCACTGCTAGGAAGCGGTCAATGGAGTGCAAGAAAAAGTGCGGCGGCTCCGGTTTGTTGGCCTTGCGCTGCCCGCTAAAAAGCTCGACGCGTACCCTCGGAGCACACCGAAGAAATTACTTGAGGGAGAAGGCAGCCCGCCTTCAATCAAAGATGCGAGCCAAATGTTTCCAAGAGCCGGTTGCCGTGCGTGACGCCCTGGCGGGGATTTGCAATCGGACCGGAGGCTGAAGAATGACGCCGGTTGGTCTTGACCTTCTGCTGTTTTGTGCGTGTTTTATGGCGTTCGCCGGTTGATCCATTTCTCGTCCGCTTCAAGCGCTGACCTACGATCAGTACAAAGGGAAGCGATTTTCTTTTGTCTCCTCAGTCGGCAACACATTAGCAGGTGTTCCGGAGAAGAAGAAGAAGGAGAGGCGGGGGTGGGGGTGCCTTCCACGCGAAGCATGGCAAATTTATTCCCAAGCCCAGAAATCGCTCATCAGGACGGCGCTGCCAAAGAGCTCGCTCGAGTGTCGCGCCAGCTGACATCTTTGGCATCTTGAATGATGTTGATACAATGACACCCACCCTCAGGATCGGGTTAGATCTCCTGAAGTGCTGCTGAAAGTTCCACTCCAGAAACATTTGCGGGCTTGACAATGAAAGCCGGCAATCTGCGGGCTGCTGCCGGTGACGACCCGACCACAGTTGACATTTAATTATGGGTAATTGTGAGCGAATATTTCTCTCATATCGCTACGCCCGCTCGCATTTAGCATCGGGAGCGACTGGAAATTGGATGCCCAAGCGCACCTGAGGTGTGAAACGTCTGACGGCAGAACGCCGCGAGATCATTCGCGTCGCCGCTCTTTCGGAACAGATTGTACGCCGTGTCACTTTGCTGTGGCCGCCGCAGCCGCGTTGAGAAACAGGGCGGCGGGGGTGTTAGTTTTCCTCCTCTGAACATTTTTGGCCGCCTCGGTGCTCAAAGCTGGAGCCGTGCGTTACAAACGCACCTTCAGTGGAACAGTCCGGTGATGTGCTTTGTGTCTTATGGGCCAGCTGCACTCCGCCGATGCTTTCAGCACCACAGACAGCTCCGCAGGCCCGCTGCAATGGAAATCTGACAGCACAGTCACACTGAACCGGCTTTTATCGTGAGGGGGATGCATTAGAGACCCACTCGTCATCGGTGGAAAAGCTCAAAAAACGAGCACTATCTCATACTTTTTGTGCCCACTTGAGAAGTGGGCACAGTAATCGAAATACCAGGAAATAAAAGCTGAAATTTGGAACCTGAGTCTCATATTCATATTTTGATCTGAATCCCAAATCATCAATATACAGGAAAAAAAAAAAGAAGGAATTGAAAGAAGCGCATCTTAGTTCATGTTTTTTTTTTTTTTAACCATACAGATTGAATTCACCCAAAGGGCCTGACTCGTGGTTCACTATTGAGGAAATACGCCATCCAGATTATAAAATGTGCCATTACACTCCCACATCCACAAACTTGAAATGACCCCTGCTGACCACGCGGCCGGCCAACTCTTATTCTCGAGTTGTTCGCAGCCAGCTGGGAGCAAGCGGAATGTCGTCTGTTTGTGTGCTCCCGTTTATGTGTCAAGAATTGACGGTTTAAGGCGTGACAGATGGGCGAGCGAGCGGCGACGGGGGGGCGAAAGGTTGAATGACCCAACGGTGCCTTGATTCAGCTCCTCCTCAGTGAAGGGGGCGCGGAGCGGGGGAGGTGGCGCGACTGCGATCCCCGGCGCCCTCGCGTCACGCGCCGCCGATCGGCCCTTGTGCCCTCTCGTGTTTGTAATTGCCAGGAGTTCGGGATTTAAGAAGATAGCTGCATCTTTTCGGAGGAAATCTTGTGAGAGAGAAACAAAACCGTGTTGTGACATCAGTCGTGCTGCCACACGGCGTTTTTAATATCACCGTTTGCGGTTAGGGATTTAGGATTATGTCGTTACGTTCATTTGTGGCGCCACCCCCCCCCACCACCGCCCCCTCCAAACCCTGAAGCAGCATTCATTTATTATTATCGTTGAAGCTAATCCAGCTAAATATTTTCAAGAACATGACCGTCTTTTAGATTTGTCTACAAAACCGCGCCCCTCGCGAACGTGCGTGTGTGTGATCCTCAAACATGGCCGTTTGAAACGGCAGGCGATTATCAACGTGCGTCGTTGTGATAATGTCACAGGGAATGAATATTGAGCTTCAAGAAAATAGCAGCGCTAGGAATGCTAAACTAGCATAAGCACCGCAAAGCCAATGTACGTCAGCATGACGTAATCATCAGCGAGTGTTCCGATAAGAAGTGGAGGTGAGCTAGAGCCGACGTAGGGGGCGGAGGATCTGCGAGAGGGACGTGTGCGCCGCTGTGGGAGTGGTCACACCTGACTTCAGTCTTGGCCAATCAAAGTGGTTCCTTTCATTCCCTTGAAATGCGGCGTGCTGGACTCTCGACATGGCGAAAGCACGTCTTCGGGGGTGAAGGGGGCACTTGGATAAATTGTTCTTGTGTAACCCCCCCCCCCCCTACCTGCGCTGCCCACCGATATGAATTAGAAATAATACAATGATCCTTATGGCTTGACGCCCACTGTTCGCATATTTATGAATGAAATAAATTGCACCAAATGCACATATGAGATATTTCTTCCGCCGCGCCGGTCTGGCAAAAAGTGCAGCGAGCTTTGCACCGCGAAATCTGGATGCGCCGACATTTGCGCCACTGTCTACAAAAATAGAGCTGTTAGCGGTTTGTCGTGATATTTATTTGTGAGGTGTGCAATCAATTTCATCGATACAATCTTTGCTAGGAGTTGAACTTTTCGCCACTCGACGCAAAGCCGATGGTGAGGGGGAGGGCCAACGCGCGGCGAGAGGCAAAGCGGCGGCCTTCTATGACGACACCAAGTAAACACAAGGCCCCTCATGACAACATGTCATCTTCCGAGGCCGGCGGATGCCACCCAGACATTTACGTGACGAAAAAAGGCTTTCGCTCGACTGTTTGCGTGTGTGTGATTGTCATCTTTCATGCAGCCGGCCAAACCGAGAGCCGTTATCCAGACAGATGTTCGAGTCCATCCGAGTCAGGGCAGGGGGGTGTCTGTCGAGGGGAGGCGATGTCGTGTAAAATAGGAGGGAGAGGGCGCAAGTGCGTGCGCGTGCTGTCCCGCCAGGCATGCCGGCCAGCCTGCTAATCAACACATTGATCGGATACAATGGAGTGCAAAAGGACACGGTATTCGTTTTTCTCATTAATAGGAGCAGCTCGTGTTATTTGTCTCCATTCATATTTCACAACATTCGGTACATCTGCCGCCCCGTCTCATTAGAGCCCATACGGGAGCCGCCTCGAGCCTTGCGCTTTTGCAAAAAATTCTTTGGCTCACTTCAAGTGTTTTCATGCGTCACACGGAGAGCAGTTTGTTTTTTTTTTTTTAAATACCGTTTTTGAACATATTGAAGATATTTGAGCTCGTCTGCTTCATGCAGGTGCACCTAATGTTGTGGGTGTATTTTTTTTTTTTAGTCGTTTTGCGGCGGTACGCTGTCGAAATGACCCAATAACCGTTCATTCGAATGATTTGGCCAAGCCCTTTTTTTTTTTTTTGGGCCGTTTGTCCTCGAAAGTTTGCTCATACGCAGCAAGCGGCTGGACTGCAATCAAAATGGATCAAATCGGATTTTCATAGCTTGCCGGTTTGTCCTTGGAGACGGCATCCATTCTAATAGCATTGCTATCGGCGATCCTATAAATGGGAAAGAGAGTCATCATGCAGCCCAAAAGCGTTCTTTTTTTTTTTTTTTTTTTTTCACTTGTCTTTTGGGCCGCACAGCTTGCGTTAGCCCAAGGCTGGGCGTGCCGCACGGCCTCGTGAATCCCTCGGCTGTCTTCGTCCCTCGCTGGCCTGCCCGCCGCCCGTGGCTAAGAATACACCCCCCAAGTCCTCGCTTCCAAAGAGGGAGACGCTTCGTCTCACTTTCTCAAGTTCTTTTCGCCAGCTCCCACAAAGTGCCGCGGATCTGAAATCTGTCTCTGTTCATTTTCCCGCGCACCACTGAATAAAACAATCCGCGTCTCATTTGGGCTGTATCGGCGTGACCGACTTGCGCGTTTACATGCCTCAGCAGATTGATCTCTTTGCTCTGCGGCGCTGTCTTGGGACCGCTAATGAGTTGTGTTTGTTTTGTGTGTGTGTGTGTGTGTGTGTGTGTGTGTGTGTGTGTGTGTGTGTGTGTGTGTGTGTGTGTGTGTGTGTGTGTGTGTGTGTGTGTGTGTGTGTGTGTGTGTGTGTGTGTGTGTGTGTGTGTGTGTGTGTGTGCCTGTGTTGCGTTCACTGCACCTGCTAATTATTGGATTCCCGAGTGACTGCGGAGGCAAATTATCTCAAGTCACTCCAGGTGTTTCGGGATGCTAGCTCAATGGGCGATAGCCGTGCTTTGTCGCAATGTGTCCGTGTATCCGCCTGAGCCTGATCTATCTATAGACTGCCAGTGTAAGACACCGAGGCACATGTGTGGGCTTCAGAGGTGGGGGGGCTTTTTACCCAGTATCCAGGGGGTCTTGGTCGGGGACCAAGCTCCGTGAGTGTGCTCAATAAAAGGCAAGCTTGCTTCCTCGCAAGAGTAGCAGGGGGGTTGTTTTTGAAAGATCACACGTGGGTTCCATGCCAAGACGCAATTCACATCACAGAGCGTTGATCTCGATGCCGGATATTGTTGCCAACGACACAAACATCCTTTTCGTACTTCACAAAAGCAAACAATTGTGGTCTTAGAGCCATGAGGGATCAATAAATAAAGCAATGAACTGCCAAAGCAGTTAAATAGGCAGGCGTCGATCAGCACGCACTTCCCGTGGTATCTGACCAGCTCTTTCTGCACCAAAACAGGATTGTGATCTACTTTTATCCAAAACAGGTGAACCTATTTTCCCCTCATTGTTGTGAAAGAAGCTTCCAGACTTTCGATCTTGGGGCAACATAATGCCGCGCGGCTCCCGCATCGTTTATTGGCGAGTTTATCGATTTGTTCTTACGCTATTTTCAACACATCATATTTAATGCAAAAAAAATGACAGATGACATGGGGACAACGCAGTCGTATTAATGTGTGAAAAATTTAAAATTGACCATATTTGGAAAAGTTTCTGCTTCAACTCCATAATTTGCCCAGGACGTTTTTTTGCATGGTAAAAGTATCATTTATATGTGCTGTTTTTGTCTCCCTCTCTCCCCGTCGCAGACCAACATCCCATTCCTCCAGAATGTGTTCTCCAACCACCAGTTCCTCCACTCCACCGTGGACACGCAATTCATCGACGAGAACCAGGAACTGTTCAACCTCAAGCCCACGCAAAACCGAGCGCAGAAGCTGCTGCATTATCTCGGTGGGGCGATAACGACAAAGAAGACCAACGAATTGTTCATCGACCTAATTTGCTGCCGCCTTCCAACTGTCTGCTGCATTTTGTAGGTCACGTGATGGTGAACGGACCGACCACACCCATCCCGGTGAAGGCCAAACCGTCCTCCGTTGACCCCGTCGTTCCACCCGTCACCATGGGTATGCAACTTGATCGGCGGCAGCCTCTGCATTTCTTCACTGGGCCTTTTTCCACACCCCGCGCTGTGCCCCTCCCATACGAGCAAAGTTTGGGAGTTGTTTTTATCCCTCCCAGTCTTCGTTCCCCTTGTTTTGTCCTTCTTATCGAAGAAATCGGGACGTCACCCTTCCTGTCTCCCTCTGTTAGATGTCAATATCTTTTCATGGCTCTTGCATAGACTGAAATTGTAGAATTTCGTTGCTCTGTGATTGTGACATGCACATTTCCATTTCCATCCCAGTGGGGATGAACACTGGGGCTGAATAATTAATGCCAAAGTGTTTAGGAAGTTAACAACTCGAATTGAAGTAAAGAATAAATAAAATCAATAAAAAGCCGGCCCGGTGATCCAGTGGTCAGGACGTCGACCTCACAGTGCAGAGGTCATGGGTTCGATCTCGGCTGCGGCCTTCCTGTGTGGAGTTTGCATGTTCTCCCCGGGCCTGCGTGGCTTTTCTCTGGGTACTCCAGTTTCCTCCCACATTCCAAAAACATGCGTGGCAGGCTGATTGAACACTCTCAATTGTCCCTAGGTGTGAGTGTGAGCGCGGATGGTTGTTCGTCTCGGTGTGCCCTGCAATTGGCTGGCAACCGGTTCAGGGTGTACCCGAAGACAGCTGGGATAGGCTCCAGCACCCCTCGCGATCCTTGTGAGGATAAAGCGGTTCAGAAAATAAATAAAAAATAATTTGAAAACACTTTCATATTAATTCATGGTGAATTTGCCTTTATTTTATCATAAGCCTAACTTATTGTGTAAGACAACAAAACATATTTGGAAAACAAAGCTGTTTATTCTTCACAAAATACATACGAAAAGGGTCTTTGAAAAAAACCCTCATATTAAATTGCAATTATCCAATTGGGGTTGTTGGGGGCGGGGGGGGCAAGTAAAATGAGATTATTTTACAAAAATTGTCAGCCGGATTTCCTCTACTATGGACTTGTTAAAATTAACACCGAATTAGTGGGCAGGCCCTCTCTGGATCTTGAAGACATTCAATCACGATCGTAATATGGAGGATGAAAAATCTCAATTTGATCATTTCTCATCGTTTCTTCAGCACTAATGGATCCCAGCAAAACCAGTATGGCCTTGCAGTGAAAGAATCCGCCGATACAATACAAGAAGGCAACTACAGCTGTCCGACCGTTACCCTTTCTGACTTAACAAGATAGTTTCAACATGCGCAGTGATTAAAACCCAATTTGCAAATGACACATATAAAATGCGCTTGATTTCATTTCAGCCCACTTCTGTCTCATCAAAGACGATCGGTTCACTTCCGTCCAGGTCCGGGCCTCGTTATTTTCAAATTGTAAACCTGAGGGCACTTTGGATAAAAGCAGCGCCTGAATGACAAATGGGCTGTCCAACAGTCGGATGGCTTTCGGCGGAAAAGCCTCCTTAAAAGGTTCCGTTTAGCAGCCGCCTTGGGAAAGGATTGCACCCCGGGCTTCTCTGCTGAGCGATGAGTCAAACAATAGGGGGTTGCGAGTGCAATTCATGCAGCCCAAAGTTGTTGGCATCCCTCACCTGCCGCACGACGGACTTCACGACCGGGCTGTTCTGACACGCAGCTCATCCAGCGACGCGCGGTCTCAGGAGTCAGGCTCTTTGGTCTCCTCGCTCGGTTATGAGTTTGCCCCAAACGCTTTTGACACGATGCACTGTGAACTTTGGATCGATTAAGCGGTGACCCCGCGTTGACCGTTCGGTCCCGGTGGGCTTTTTTTTTTTTTTTTTTCCCCCCCACATGCTGTTTCCATCCTTTGCTCATTTTGTAAGTGGAAAATCAGCCTGGCCGCAACACACAGGCAGGCATCTTTCCTGCAAATATGAACCGATCACTAAATAACCTGAAAAATATCATTCATCGCAAGGCATGATTCATCAAATCTGACTGCCCAAAACGCGCATCTCAAATATGGTGCCAATTGGCATTAAAAGACAAGCCTTTTGAAATTTTCAGTGAGAAAAAGGTAGTACGTCAAAATGAGACCGGCTCATTGAAAAGAGAGCGCCACGGTGCAGCTTCCCACGAATTACGACGACTACATTCATCCTCGTGCCCTAATGGTGCGTTTCAATTTTGGTGCCTCAAAATACATGTTCAGCGTTCAGTAACTTCATCTGAATTTATGGTTCACGTGCTTTTATTATCGTGTCAGCCTAACCTGACGATGTCAATGTAGAATAAATCCTCAATTTAAATTTTTTATTGACGACTGATAAAATGTCATGAATCTGCTAAATTGTTGACTTTATACTTGCTTTAAATTGAATCCCCACTTGAAACATGAAGCATGAAGTGGACATTTGTAGTGACTATAGTAATTTAGCCACGCAGACAGCAATGACGTGACATCATCTTTAGTGGACGTCCCCTTGAGTAGAATCGAACAGCCTCGCCTCATTTCCCCCAAAATATTTCTACCCCCTCCCGCATTGCTCCTTTTAAGATGTGAGATGATAAAATGATGAGCCTCGACATGCTTTACCATGTTTACTTCAGTAAACGCTACGTTGTGAATGACGTCGTCTCTTATTCTGTGCATGTGGGTCACTTTGGCGACGTATTTGGTTCACACACCAGACAGATTGATGTCGCAAAATAATTTATGTGAACGATTCCACCCCGAAAAAAAAATCGTATTTCACCCCAAAAAACTTCACATTGAGCATTCAGACTTGCAGTCTGACCGTAGCTTTAATCACTTTTTTTTTTTAATCTTCCATAAAACAAACACTCCATGTAATTAAAAAAAATAATAATTAAAACGATTACTAAAACTAAAAGCTAAACTAAAATGAAGCAAGGAAAAATGAAGAAAAGCAAACTTGCTCTGAAAACAAATGAACTGAAATTTCAGAAACAAAAGTCAAGATGAAATTACAAAAAAAAAAACGATAACATAATATTACAACTACAAAATTCACAACAATGACAACTCTGCTGGGCAGGTGCATCCGACATCCGGATGGGAGGCTCCACATATATGAAAAGTGCGCAAGTCCAGCTGCTTCAAAAAAGATGTAGCGTGCGTGTGAGCCGACTCACTACTCAGCTTGTCTACAAATATTGTGGTGGGCTCTCTTATGTGAAGGAAATGGGAGGTGGGTGTGGTGGGGCGGGGGGGCGTGGCCTGCAGGGAGTAGGTATACGGCCCACTGTCCATGCATGCATCGAAAACTGAGTAATGAGATTTGTAATGTGCGTTGCTTTCATTCAACTCAGGGATTGAGGGAGAGAAGAGAGGGATTAGACCAGTATTATCACACTCTCCGCGGAGGGAGAGGGACGTGGACGGAGAGCGGGGTTAGAAAAAGAGGACAGGAGCGGCTTTGGTCCGGTGTAGGCTATAATCCGGCCTGCACACAAAGGCAATCATCGGCGAGGTGCAAACATGAGAAGCGATGAACCGAGCCGGACAACTCTCCTGTATCCGGATATTTTTACTTTTAAAGAGCGCCGCGTGATCTCCGGCCAAATGTGAACTTCCAGTCAAAAGTTCTCCCCGATGGAGGTAATAAAACGGCCAATTAACTCCATCCCGGTGCACGTCGGGTACATCGAGTGTGTGATTACAGTAATCGTAATGCACACAGTAGGCGCGCAACACAAATGGGTTTCTAATGTGTGTTGTGGCGCTGTAAGTGACATTCTATTGCTCGTCGGATTATTGATGCGGAGGCCTGCGCCGTTCGGCTGCGCGGCGTTGCGAATGCATACCGCATTTGGTGTGAAACTGGGCGAGCCATGCACATACATCGTTTGCCTGATTCGTTTTTGATAAGTTTAAAGTGTCCTTTTTAGTCGGGGGGACTCGCGCGGCTCATGACTGCCGTGTCCCGCTACACCCGAGTTCATTTTGCTTTCGGTTGGGGAGGCGCACCGAGAAAAAGGTCAAGTGGAAAGAAACCCAAAAGAGAAGTACAAGAGGGCCATGAGCATCCAGGCGGAGAGACGCTAGCTCATTAACTGGACTAATTGATTGATGAACATCCGCTGCCCAGCTGGGATTGATCTCAGTCGGGCTGCCAATATTTGAAAGCCTCTGGTTGTGCTCGTGTTTAATTGCCAGGCAGAGGCTCGGTGGGAGCAGCCCGGGAGTAAAATGTGTTGTTTGCGCTTTGATGGCAGACGTGTACCTCGGTGTTCACAGGCGATGGCAAGATGCTTTGTTGTTATTTTTTTCAGGCAACCATTGTTTATTGAGATGTTCCACAATAGGCGATAAAAAAAACCCATAAAAATTGCACAACCATCAACATTCCACCAAATGTTTCATTTCATCTCTCAAAAGTCTGCTAGCTCAGCGCTAACATACAATGTGAAACGTCATCGACGGGCTCCCGGAAATTAGCATCGACACTGTGCCTGGCTTCACCGTAGTTAACCGTCCTTAATTTCCTATCATTTGCAATTTTAGGAGATCCTCCGGTTGGATTCCGCGACGTCCTGCTGCGCGACGGCCCGGAGGGCTTCGCCAAGGCCGTGCGTGCCCACCAGGGCCTCCTGCTGATGGACACCACATTCAGAGATGCCCACCAGTCCCTGCTGGCCACCAGGGTGCGCACCCACGACTTGAAGAAAATCTCGCCGTTTGTCAGTCATAACTTGCACAACCTTTTCAGCCTGGAAAACTGGGGAGGTAGGTGACATGAATAGCGCAGGCTGGAATAATTATTAGGGCTCAACTGATTAATCGGGCTGTTTTAAAATGGTTTTTTTTTTCCTTTTTATGGTTTTGTTTTTTTGCAATGAACACATTACAACAGAAAACAAAGATAATACACCCTCCAATAATAATTGGTCAAAAAATAAAAATACAGGACCAAGTATCTTCTGCCTTTAATTCATCTCTTAATTGTAAGCATTAAGGAAACAGTAAGTTATCGTATTCTCCATTTTTTTTCCTTTTGTTAATCTGTTATCGAAATATTTTTCTCTCTCAAAAAAAATCCATTGGGCCCTAATAATTATTATGTCCATCACTTATAATAATGCCTTGAAAACAGCAGCTGTATTTATTATTAATTCTTTGAGGGCCCGTTGACCTGAAATGACGTCAACATCAACCCTAACAAGTAATCACGTTTTTTATGGGAATGGCCAGAGAAAAGCCTTGAGAAGCTCTGGATTGATGATTACTGTGGGAAAGCAGAAAAAAACACTATGGCCCGCAGATGGTAGCATTGGGTCTCGTGGATAAGACCATCGTGTGTCAAAGGAATGTGAAAACCCGTGAACATGATGGCTCTCATGAAATGTGACCATTAGAAGCACCTTCTGATTGATCAAAGTCTTTGTCACGTTTCATCAACTAAAACAGTGTCACAAAAAAGAGAGATCATCTATACACACATACCTGGCACAATGCACGCACACACACTACTATATACTACTACTACTCCCACTACTACACTGTGTAGTAACTACACTAAACAGTCAGCATATGGTTTTAAAGTTCATAAAGTGGAAAATTGTTCCACTGGTGATTATTTCAAAATACATTTTGCCATCAAAAGCACATTTTCATTGTTTGTATTTCATACAAGAAATTTACTAGCATCTTAGTTACTGATGAGCATAAAATATATCTTTTCACAAAAAGCTTGTTTTTTGCATTTTTTTTTTCCAAAATAGGTAATTTGGGTGAAACCAACCTATGCTCTCCTGCTGATTGCAAATAATCGAGAAACAAACTTTTTTTGTACTCAAGAAGAGAGTCTTCTCTTTCATTTGGTAGTTGTTGTGTATCAGAAAACACAAGATTCCGTTCGCCTTGAATGATCCGTCAGAATGCTCTAAACGGGCCGGCACTCAAGAGCTTCTCTTTTTTTTTTTTTTTGGAAAATGTTTGGCATTGAAAAAGTGCAGCCTTCAAAACGGGAAACAGTTTTAGGAGCACAAGGAGGACAAGGTTTTCTCTCCAAACACCGTCCGACAACCTCCAGCGCGGGAAACTGTCCGTGGTTGGCGCCGCGACGCTTTGTTATCTTGACATATTGTCTCGGCGGCGTGCGCTCAGATCATATTTGGCGTCACGTGCTGCGGCCGCTCGGAGGCACAATGAATCATTGGGCAGATTAAGCTGCAAAATCCCTTTGAGGATTAGTCCCTTTCCTGATATAGCGTTTCTCCCAACACCGTGGAGGATACAGTACATTCGATTTGGGTCACACAACGTATGGCGACACTTATCCTATGCCGCACTAACATTTAAATCTTCCATCGAGTGGATCACACGCCGAGCACATCACGTTATCGCGCGGCCGCCTTTCAACGTGACTGCAAATCGTGTCGGAGGTGCCTCATTTCCAGTTGCTCTTCTTCGCAGCAGCGCCTGCCGTCCGCACCGCGTCCTCGTCGTCGTCATTCCTTCAATCTAATTAAGCGGCGCCAAGCTCGCCGTTTGGGATGAACTCCACGGCTCAGCATCGTTCCATATCAAAAGTCCAGCGAGCTGACGTCGGCTCAAATCCAAACTTGGGCCAGCGCGGTAAACAATTGATAAAGCGCAAGCTGCTTCCGGGGCTTTCCTGGTCTTTCCCGCAGCACTGCCGACTCGCTCCATTTCCAAACGCGCGCTCCAAATGAGATTTAATGGTGACACTGTTGGATCAGCACAAAACCACCAGCGGCTTCAATATTTCTGGTTTATATGATAAATGTCTAATCCACAGCGGGAAATGAGAGATTGCTATCACCCCCTCCCCATCCTCTTCGTCCTGCTGCCCCCTCTTCCATGGAGGGAATTTTTACACAAACGGCCTCAAGATGACAAAGTGTTGGAATGAAAACGGAATGTGTTCAGATCTCTCTATTTTTAGTCGGTTGCTAGCAATGTCGCACTTAAGGTCTGTGTGTGTGTGTGTGTGTGTGTGTGTGTGTGTGTGTGTGTGTGCGCGCGTGCGCGCGCGTGCGTGCGTGTGTGTGTGCGTGTGTGTGCGCACACAGGTGCCACCTTCGATGTGGCCATGCGCTTCCTGTCCGAGTGCCCGTGGAAGAGACTCCAGGAGTTGAGGGCTTTGATCCCAAATGTTCCCTTCCAGATGTTGCTGAGGGGAGCTAACGCCGTGGGCTACACCAACTACCCCGACAACGCCGTCTTCAAGTGAGTCACTCCGTGTCTGTGTGTGTGTGTGTGTGTGTGTGTGTGTGTGTGTGTGTGTGTGTGTGTGTGTTCTGCAGAGCCACTCCACGAGGTACATCTGCGCGTTTTAACGAGCGCCACTATTGGAATCATAAAGGCCATTTTTCGGTTTTCAGCTTCCAATTTTTAAACGAAAAACGGGAGAGAGCTCGTCGCAGTTCATTGGAGACAACAAGGACACACACATTATGCACATTAGGAAGCAGATGTGAAAATCCCAAATATTTATCTTCGGGTTTTGAATTGGTTTGGAAATGTGGATATGGGACGCATTTCATGATTTGTGGAGTTTATCTTGACAATGTGAAAAATGTGATAGACTATATTGTACCTGGCGGGCCCGGTGGTTAGCGCGTCGACCTCACAGTGCAGAGGTACCGGGTTCGATTCCAGCTTCAACCTTCCTGTGTGGAGTTTGCATGTTCTCCCCGTGCCTGCGTGGGTTTTCTCCGGGTACTCGGGTTTCCTCCCACATTCCAAAAACGTGCATGGCAGGCTTGTTGAACATTCTAAAATTGTCCCCATTTGTGAGTGTGATCGCGGATGGTTGTTCGTCTCTGTGTGCCCTGCGATTGGCTGGCAACCGGTTCAGGGTGTCCCCCGCCAACTGCCCGAAGACAGCTGGGATCGGCTCCAGACACTTGTGAGGATAAAACGGATCGATCGGATGGATAAAATATTAAATAATATTTATGAATTAAGAATTAGGTTCCGCAACAGGTTTTTTTTTTTTTTTTAAACAAATGAAGAAAGATCAGATGAATGTTAATTTTTCGGTTTTCAGCTTTCACCTTCCAATTTTCAAACAAAAAAAAAAACAGGAGCTAGCTCGTGGGCCGTTCATTGGAGACAACAAGGACTCCATCTTCAGCACATGAGTGTGCTTCAGTTCCAGTGCCCGCCACACCAAACCACATGACACACACTGACACCCGTGTAGCGCATTTGAGGGCCCATAAATAACACATGTCCTATCCGCCTCGAGCCCTTTCCCAAATAGATTGATTAGTCAGCTCCTTGGCATGGGTGACTCATGCCCGCACACACACACACACACACTCTCCAAGGTGTAAGACCCCCTCCACACGCACACGCCGGGTGCAGATAAATTAGTAGTGACTTTATGACTAATACGGCAGCCCACACACACATGGACGCAGACCTCCCCCGTCCTCTCTGATGTTTTTGTGGCCGCCCGTCCCCTCTTGCAATTTGATTATTTATCCCCTCTGATAGTTCATTTTTATGCGTCCATTCATCTCTCATCTCTCTCTATGCTGCCATTGAAAAGGGAGACGATTACGATTAATGTCTTTGAGCCATTTGCCTCCATCCCCGCTTTCACGCTGTCTCTCTTGACAATTTTTTTTTTTTTTTAACTGCTGCAGGCTGCAAGTGAAAAGGCCCAACGCGGCG